AAGAACCAAATTAAATCCAAACCGAAATGATCCGAATCAAACCGAAACCAACCGAATGACCCAGTTCATATCCCGACCTGATTGAACCCGAACAAGTTAGACCAAACCGATTAAACTCGAAACTGATTAGACCCAAAACTAATTAGATTCAAAATTGACTATACCTAAAAACTGATTAGATCCGATATTGATCAAGTTCAAGACAAATTAAACTCAAATTCAGACAAGCCTAATAGCTCATTGGTTCATGTCCTTCTATAACAAACATATTGAATTATAGGTACAACTGATTTAATGTACAAATCTTTTACTCTATATTTTATCATTTAAACTAAGATCGTTGTCTATTTTTATATAGAATTTATATAATTTATAGTGACGTCGTATTACACATTGATGGATATATATACTAGCTCATTACTGCTGACACTTGCATATATACTCCCTTTACACATAGGGAGGAAAGGCTACACACAAGACTAACATTAGGAACTCTAATAGCAAGGGATCTCATCTGAAACAAGTATAAACCCAAACTGATATAAACTGAATTTGATACATACCTGAATTGATATAAACCCAAACCATATAAACACAAACCAAAACCGACCCATTCCCAGAAAAAAATCAAACTGAATTTAATCTGACACCAAACTTACCTGACCGGAACCGATTATTAAATATATTCGAAAGAGACCCAAACCGAAGAGATCTGAACCAGAATAGAACTAACTGGCCCCATTTCCGCTTCTACTCTCATATTCATTACATTGATTTTGTATCCTTTAGAGAGTATATTCTTTGTTCTTCACCGACTAATGATTAATCTTCTTATTTATCAAGGGAGATAAGGTATTGAACATCTTCTGTGTTTTTAGACACATCTTCCACTTATTGTAACGGTCGAGGATGGCCATATAAGTCCTTGTGTAGACGGTAAGGGATAGTTGAGAAATCCTTGGGTAAAGGTTCCAAGTTCTTATAAAGTCGTTCAAATGCTCATTTATTTAACTAGTCAACTTTGAGAATCCATGTATCTTTCACCCTACCACCACTTTGGCATATAATGTATCAAAATATTCATCTCACTTAAAGGAGCACTCGTCCAATATTTAACGGTTAAAACCGTCAATGGACCTATTGATAATTATTTTCAACTTGGTCATTTAATACTTATTAAATGCAAAAAATTTCTAAGTACCAATACCTTTAATCGTTCTTATTTGATCTTTCCATTTTCTTTTTACACAAAGTTTAAGAAATGTAAGTTTGTGTGATGGAAATTGGTGTAGAGAAGGAAAAAATTGATATAAACCAAACAAATTTTTCTTTAGGAAAAAATTAGAAAGCTAATTAGAAGAGTATATCTTTAAAAGAAAATGAGAAAAGGGCAATAATAGCTCAATTTAGCTCTTCCCAAAGAAATATCTGATTAGTTTTGAAGAAAATGGGAAAAGTGCATATGTGGTTTCGCCACATGTTTAATTCCATTACGTGCAGGGGAACATATATCCCAAGTTTCTATTTACTTTCCTTACCCCTACCCGGTCTACAAAAATGGTTTAATTCCAAACCTCATTTCTTCCGTGTAATATGAGCTCCAAGGTCCATTAATGGTTATCATGCCACATATTATACACATACCCTCGAGATACAATAAAATACTCCTGTAATACCCCATGTTTAGATGAGAATGGAAAGAGCTAAAAAAGATTGATAGTGCTACTCATATCAACATGGTGTATTTTCTTTTCAAGAGCTCATCACTTAGAAACTCCAAATTTAAACATGCTTGACTTGGAGCAATTTAAAGATTGGTGACCCCATAGTAAGTTCATTGGGCGGGAAATACTTATTGGTTTGTGAGGCCATTCTACAATCCTATGAGCAGATGCTTACGGCCATGGTGGGGGCCGGGGTGTTACAAAAGGTATCAAAGCAATCCTACGACCGTGATGGGCCAAAAGAGCTTAGTTCATCTAGCGGGAAAGCTCTAGGGGTTTGAAAAAAAAGGATGCAACGAGGATGATGCATTCCTAAGTGGGGGTGAATGTAATACCCCATGTTTAGATGGGAATGGAAAGAGCTCAAAAGGATTGATAGTATTACTCATATCAATGAGGTACATCTTTAATTTGAGAGTTCATCACTTAGAAATTTCAAAGTTAAGCGTTCTTGACTTGGAGCAATTTGAGGATGAGTAACCCTTGGGAAGTTCCTTCGGCACGCACGAGTGAGGACAAAGTGCGCGGGAAAGACTTGTGTTTGTTTGTGAGGCCAGCCTACAATCCTATGAGCGGATGTTTACGGCGAGGGTGGGAGGCGTGGTGTTACAGTACTTCCTAAAAAGCTCTTGATTCTTTCAATTTGAGTTTCCACGTAAATATCTTGTGTTCTTCGTATATTCCTATTAATTTTGTTATTACTTTAAGTCATGTTAGGGGTACACGAGTTTGGTGTATCTCATTTGTACATCATTCATTTTAACCTTACGCTTTTCATCAATGAATTTTTTTTATCAACACTAAATTTGTGTGGTGAAGAAGCTTTGATGTGCATTCAGGGTACAGTTTTGGTGTACCCCTAATATTATTGTATTACTCTCTTTGTTCGTTAATTATTTGTTCTCACTTTGCTTGTTCGACCGTTCAAAAATTTCTTTCCTGTTTCATATTCTGTAAAAAACTTTTAATCAATGTGCCATTATATACTTACTTTCTAACTACACTATTGACTTTATTCTATCATATCAAAAGCAAACATGAAAAGTCTTTACATATTTTAATTTTTTTAATCTCCGTAGCAAAGCAAATCGAAAAAGGAATTTGTGAATAGAGGGAGAACTTTGTATTATTTGGCTTGTATCCATAGGTTCCAATGGATCAAAATCCATCTCAGCCAAACACCATAAATAATGAAATACCTGGTACGAAATATTGACATTCCAACTAGGGACACTATGAAGGTGGACATTCCAAACATGAAAAGTCTTTACATATTTTAATTTTTTAATCTTCGTAGCAAATCAAATCGAGAAAGGAATTTGTGAATAGAGGGAGAACTTTGTATTATTTGGCTTGTATCCACATGTTCCAATGGATCAAAATCCATCTCAGCCAAACACCATAAAAAATGAAATGCTTGGTACGAAATATTGACATTCCAACTACCGACATTATGAAGGTGGACATTCCAAACATGAAAAGTCTTTACATATTTTAATTTTTTTAAATCTCCGTAGCAAATCAAATCGAGAAAGGAATTTGTGAATAGAGGGAGAACTTTGTATTATTTGGCTTGTATCCACATGTTCCAATGGATCAAAATCCATCTCAGCCAAACACCATAAAAAATGAAATACTTGGTACGAAATATTGACATTCCAACTACCGACATTATGAAGGTGGACATTCCAAACATGAAAAGTCTTTACATATTTTAATTTTTTTAATCTCCGTAGCAAAGCAAATCGAAAAAAGGAATTTGTGAATAGAGGGAGAAGTTTGTATTATTTGGCTTGTATCCATAGGTTCCAATGGATCAAAATCCATCTCAGCCAAACACCATAAAAATGAAATACCTAGTACGAAATATTGACATTCCAACTAGGGACACTATGAAGGTGGACTTTCCAAACATGAAAAGTCTTTACATATTTTAATTTTTTAATCTCCGTAGCAAATCAAATCGAGAAAGGAATTTGTGAATAGAGGGAGAACTTTGTATTATTTGGCTTGTATCCACATGTTCCAATGGATCAAAATCTATCTCAGCCAAACACCATAAAAAATGAAATACTTGGTACAAAATATTGACATTCCAACTACCGGCATTATGAAGGTGGACATTCTGTTGGGGATTCCACCAAGTCCCACACCGGAGGGAGAAGAAAAAATGGACCAAAATATATAGGTTCACCCAACCCCATTAGTATGAGGCCTTTTGGGAGGTGCCCAAAAACAAATCCCTGAGGGCTTGGCCTAGAGCGGATAATATCATACTGATGCGGGGTTGGGGTGAGCTGAGGGCACGCGCAGTCCCAACATGTGGTATCGGAGCCCAGGTTCTTGCGGGCGTGAGGCGGACTGTGCAGTGTTGAAAAATCTCAGTGTGACGGTGTAACAATAGGACCAAGACCAAGAAAGAGGATCTGCAGGTGGTGCCTTGTGTCGAAAGTCTTCCCGACGGGAGAAGGTCGAGCGGCGTGTCCCGTGAAGTTATAGCCACGGCGGTACAAGATGATCCGGTAAATCAAATGGTGTAGCCCAGCGATGGAAAGATCTGCAGTTCGAGCCTTGCGTCGAAAGTCTTCCAGGCATGAGGTCGGGCGACTTGTCCCGCAAAGAGTGTGCGACGGTGCAAGATGGTTAGCAGATAAAAGGAAAAATGGATTACCGCGGGAGGGGAGGTCGGAATTTTTGTGGTCCTTGGTTGAGGGGAGGTTTGTTGGGGATTCCTCCAAGTCTCACACCGGAGGGAGAAGAAAAAATGGACCAATATATATAGGTTCACCCAACCCCATTAGTATGAGGCCTTTTGGGAGGTGGTCAAAAACAAATTCGTGAGCTCTTGGCCTAAAGCGGACAATATCATACTGGTGCGAGGTTGGGGTGAGGGCACGCGCAGTCCCAACACATTACAAACATGAAAAGTCTTTACATATTTTAATTTTTTTAATCTCCGTAGCAAAGCAAATCGAAAATAAATTTTGTGAATAGAGAGAGAACTTTGTATTATTTGGCTTGTATCCATAGGTTCCAATGGATCAAAATCCATCTCAGCCAAACACCATAAAAAATGAAATATTCACATTCCAACTAGGGACACTATGGAATGGACATACCGATACCCACAGCCCAATCCAATCCTGGCGTCCCCCAAAGCAGTGTGCTGAGGACTGAGGAGGAGAGTTGTTTTCGAATTGACCTGTCCCTCTCTCTCAGATAAGGAGACAAAAACAACACTCATATTTCGCCACATGTTTAATTCCATTGCCGGGTGGGGAACAGATACCCCGGCTTTCTCTTTCCTTTCCGTAGCCCGCCTGGTCTTCCATCATGCCGAAAGAAAGCGTCCCCCGTTCTCTCCTTTTTCTCTCGGCTCCCCACCTCTGCTCCGCTATTCCTATTTTAATCATCGGCCTCCTTCGCCGATTCTCTCCCCGGTTGACCTCTCCGGTTCCCTTTGCCGGCGATACTCCGCCATGACGACCCCTCCTTTTGAACTCACCACCGAGTCCGACTTCGATCGCATCGTCTCCTCCGATGGACTCGTCTCCATATGTGGCTTCGGCTCTCTTCTCTCAGGTGTATATTCACTTCCTCTCTCAATTTTGTTGCTGGATGGAGCGTCTTGATAACTGTCCTCTAACAATTTTATTGAAGATTGATTTTGCTTACAATGTAGAGAGGAGTGCTCGGAGTACGTTTCCCGGTCTAATAGGTTTCAGAGTGGCCAAATTGATTGGATTCCGGAGGGTTTTTGCTCACGTAGCGCCCATATTCTTTGAGCATGGCATAGCTAAACCCGAAACCAAGGTGCCATTTTCAATTTGCATTCTCCTCTTCTGCTTGTTTCGGTCATTGACATTAATTATGAGTTTTGGACAATTCGTAGAAGATGAATAACTAACTAACTGAATTATGAGGGTCATTCCATTATACTATCAGGAGATGTCAAGCTTGAGCGTGGAGCCTTGTGAAGGGGAAACCCTTATAATTTCTGCATTTGAAATTTCAAAATCAGAGGTATAGAGAGATCAATTGTTTTTTTTTCAGCTGGTTATTACTTATTGAGTTTTGGACATACACTTAACTTCAACACCTCTTGCTTTGCGAAACTAGATACCAGCGTTCATGGAGAGGGAGCATGAATTTCGGTTTCTCGCAGTTAGTTGCTTTATCCTATCTTCTACTCTCACCAATTATTGCATACATTGTTTATCATTTTTTAAAATTTGAAGGCAACTAATTTCTTTCTTGTTTCTTTCATTTAGGTCACCCCTGAAACGTTGAATGGATTACTATATACAAATCGAGCTGTAAGTGAGATAGATGGGACCAATTACTTTATCTTTGTTACCTGCATATTACTGAATTTTTCATTGTAATCGAGTACTTTGTCGATCTTGATTTTCTTTTTACTTAGTTACTTAGTAATATATCTTAAATTTAAGAATTACGGTGAATTGTTAAAACTATCCATAATGAGGCAATAGTAGAGAAGAAGAAGCCCAGTGATGAACTATTCATGCAGTAGTTTTAGACAAATCATGTGGAATTTTTCCAAATAAGGTAAGTGGACTACAACATCTGGATGCCCATATAAAGAAAGGTGAACAACTAAGCAAAGTCGTAGGTAAATCTAAGAAATGGACGTTCTCACATAGATGCAGAAACATTTACTACACAAGGTGCATTTTAGAAGAACACGAACATATGAACCTGGAGGGAGTAGTGATTTACATATTCAATTTGTTTGTGTAGGTACTATGTGCACGTTATACTGATGAGGAATATCTTAAGGAAAGATGTAAAGGTACGTTTACTTTTATTGTTGGTGAGGGTTATGGTAGTTGCCTAGTTTGGAAGCTAAAAGGGCAATGTGATCTTTAACAGGTGACCTCGAGATCTTCTTCAAGCGATATGGCCAATATAACATTGACCGGATTTGGCAAGATGATATTTTACCATGTCGTGCTTATCTACGCCACTGGTGAGACCGGTTTCATTAATGTGGTTTGTTATTAAAAGGAAGCATGGATTGATTATACCGATCATTAGATGTTACTTGTTTGAGTCCAGTCTGCTTCAAAAGTTTTCTGCCATATACTCAGTATTTCTTACTCCCTCTATATTAATTGTCCACTTACAATATTTAAAAGAGAAGATTATACAAATTACTGTGAATGATAAAAAAACACTCTTAACTCTTACACTATGTTTGGTTCATGGAAATCAAAAAGATAGGAAAAGAAAGATCTCTCCTTTCCTCACCAAAATGGAAGGAAAATAATTTTCCTTAATCTATTTTCTTCTTCCATTTTCTCTTCCTTCTACTTTTCTTACCATTTCCTTTTTAACCGAATGAGAAAAAACTTTCCTTCTCATTTTCTTTTCTTTTCTCTTTCAAATTTCTTGAACCAAACATAGTGTTGAGAGCATGATAGTATTGTTTCCACCAATGAATAAAAGCTAACCTAACTTCAAGGTTTTTGATCTCATTTCTTAAATATGAAGTATTTTTAGAAAACATAAAATTAAATTCTAAAGGAATGAGTATGATACTCCCTCCGTTCCTAAATAAACTTCCTCTTTCGTTTTTTTTGTCCCCAAATAAACTTCTCTTTTCCCTTAAAAAACCCCTTTTACCCCTTACTTTTTCATACCCTACCTATCACATCATACCTTTAGATTAATAATCTACCCATCACATCAAGGGTAATTTTAGGGACGGAGGGAGTATAATGGTATTTTTTAGAACACTCCAGCTCTGATAAGGATTTAAAACTATATTCCGTATACATCTAACAATGTAGTGTGCTGGCGGCTGAGAATCTTGGTGAAGTTGCATTCAATAATTTTATGGATCATACATACCTTGGAGACAGGAAAACAACCATCCGTCAGTACCTAGCTACAACTGGGTCGGGCATCATGGAAGTGGAACCACCTCAACCTCTTAGAGAGAGATATGGCGGTTGAGATTGTGGCATTATGAGATATGTATTCCTTATTTTTTTCGTCCTCTTTCCCATTTTGTTTAATTAAACTTGTCCATTGTCTGTTAAAATGGTTGAAAATGTGTAATCATTCATTTTATCGTTGTAGCTAAGATGGATTTTTTTTGTTTCATCTCATACTATCCCTAAATAAACTTTTCAGTTTTCCTTTTTGATTGTCTTCTCATTCTTTCTAGAGATTATCAGTGGTCCACATTAGTTCTCTCTCCTCTCTATAGAGTTCAATTGATTTTTTTAGTTTTCTTAATTTATGTGAAAAATCAAATTGGGAACTTATATATATATATATATATATATATATATATATGTATGTATGTATATGTATATGTATATGTATATGTATATGTATATGTATATGTATATGTATATGTATATGTATATGTATATGTATATGTATATGTATATGTATATGTATATGTATATGTATATGTATATGTATATGTATATGTATATGTATTATCAGTGGTCCACATTAGTTCTCTCTCCTCTCTATAGAGTTCAATTGATTTTTTTAGTTTTCTTAATTTATGTGAAAAATCAAATTGGGAACTTATATATATATATATATATATATATATATATATATATGTATGTATGTATGTATGTATGTATGTATATGTATATGTATATGTAAATGTATGTTGTGTGTGTGTGTATATATATATATATATATATATATATATATATATATATATATATATATATATATATATATATATATATATATATATATATATATATATATATAGGGGCCGGTTCTCGTGAGAATGCACCTTGTGGAGAGAAATAAGAATAAAATCTAGCCGTCGGATCTGATGCATCGTGCGGCTCAGATTGCATCCTGCGCTCAGATTTTGAGATAGTGCATTTTCGAAAGTTTATGGTGCATTTCGACGTGATGCATTTTCGCACCATGTTGGTGCATCTAATTTTGATGAAATCTTGACCCTTAGATCTCACAATCTAAAATACCAGATTCATTCTCATTTCTCTCCTAAGATTGCATTTTCACCAGAACCAAAATCTATATATATATATATATATATATATATATATAATAAATGGCTAGAGAGAGAATTTTTTCCGGTGAACCTCCGGTAGTAATTCCGACTAAGAACAATACCACATCTATTCCTAGAACCCCTAAACTCTTCTAGGAGTTATTCAAAGTCTCAAAGCTAAACCCTCTAGGGAAGGTAGAAGGGTTCTATCATGGGAATCCGTCAGTGTCATTCACATTAGATGAAGAAGATATGTTAGCAGACAATCAAAAATTCTCCATCATTGGTCGTAGCAACTCGAAGCTCAACCTGCAAGGAATCAAATCTTTCCTTCTTAAGGGAGGATTCCATGGAGGCTTCAAGCTCAGAAGAATGCGTAACAACGTCGTGCTCTTCATCTTCAAGGCAGAGGCAGATTATGTTAGGTTCTTGAGAAAGCAAAAGTGGTATGTTGGTTCTGCTCTTCTTCATGTTTGTAAATGGAATAAAAATTGTCACATAAACTTGGACAGCCCTGTTGTTCCTATTTGGGTCACCTTCATTAGCCTGCCATTACACCTCATTAGTTTTCAAGCTTTGTTCACAATTGCATCTGCTATTGGACGCCCTATTCAACTTGATGAAAGAACTTCCAAACTGGATAGAGGGATAGAAGCTAGAGTACTCTTGGAGAGAGATATCTCTATCCCCTTTCCAGATTCCATTCATGTTAGACTGGGGGATAGGGATATCACAGTACCTTGCCAATGGGAGGAAGGGCATGCTTTTTGCAATAGGTGCAGGAAGCTAGGCCACTCAGATTGCACTCCAGTTCAGCAGCCCACCGGAAAAACTCCCTCCGGCAAGGGTAAGCTTGATGAGCAAGGTGATAATAGGGCCCTCAGCTGGACTATTGTCAAAGGAAAGAACAAAGAAAGACCCAACAAAATCCCATCACATGGCCTGCAATCCAAAATGAAGTGGGTCAGGAAAGAGAAGATATCAACAACAGCTACAAGCCAAAACCAATTCCACTTACTGGACCAGCATCTGGAGCCTTTTTCAGGTCAGTCACAGTGCCTGTTTGATAGTTATGACCCACTAACTTCAGAGGTACAAGCTATTGACCGAGTAACCCTACTCGAGGGACTCCATGATTCCAACGGCAACCCTTCAAATCATGTCTTCCCATCTTTATCAGAAGCAAAGGAGTATACTCGGAGGATGAAAATCAACAAGTCCCCAGGACCAAAAGCCAAGGAAACTCCCTTCTCCTACAAGGCAATGGATGATTGTCTGTTCAAGAGCCCTGAGATTGGTCTTGGCATCTTGCTGGAACCCCTGCAGGCAGAAGGCACAAGGAAAAATATTGACTGTGAATTTTAATTTGGATACCACTCCGAGGGAGAAGAAACAGAAGTGTTAGACAAATCTAAGCTTCAAGCTATTAATATAAAAACACCAGATCCATCCTCAATATGTGTCTCAGTCCCCAAAGCGAGCAAGAATAAACAAAAACAGGCTTACCCCTATATGCTCACAAGGAGCATGAAGGGGAATAAAGATGTTACATTCTATCAGTTGTCATGAATATTTTATTCTGGAACATTTGTGGTATTAACTCCTCTGTTAATAGGTTAACCTCCCTTACCAAAACCTATAAACTTGATTTTGTTGCTGTTTTGGAACTTATGATTCAGGAACATAAAGTCAATACTACTAGAGTTCAGCTTGGTTTCTCTAATTGTGCTTCAGCCCTTAACAACAAGCTTTGGGTTTTTTGGAAAGGGGATAGATTCAAACTATTATCCTTTCAAGAGTTTGGTCAAATGTACACCTGTCACTTCTGGGATAATAACCTCAGCACCAAGTGTAGCATCACCTCAATTTATGGCAAACACACTGGAAGTCAGAGAAAGGAACTATGGAAGGACATCTCTGATAATGTTATCAGTGATCACCTTTGGATTTTAGGGGGTGACTTTAACGCTATTTGCTCCCTTGAGGAGCACCAAGGCTTAACCACCCCCACCCTGGCAGACATAACAGACTTCAAAGACTGCATTGAAGCCATCCCACTCATTTGCCCAGCCTTTGAAGGAGGTATCTTCACCTGGAGTGGGGTGAGGAGTAGGGGAAGAATTTGGAGAAGATTAGACAGGGCTTTGGTTAACCCTCTCACTATGAACCATTTCCTTGAAATTAACATGAAACATCTGAGCAAAACCTCCTCCGACCATAAGCCTATCTTGCTGCAATGCCAACTAGAGGACTTCAAAGGAGCAAAACCATTCCGATGCCAAGACTTCTGGTTCACCCACAATAACTTCCTCAAGGTAGTCAAAGATAACTGGACTCAGCAGCGCATGATAGGAGGAATGAGGGGACTGGTTATTAAACTCAAAGGGCTCAAGGCTACACTTAAAAACTGGAGCAGGGAAACATTTGGTGACATCTTTGAAGCTGTAAAGGAAGCAGAATTTAAAGCTATGAAGGCACAAGAAGAGTATGAAGAGAATCCAGTTGATATCTTGAGATCCATAGCCAATAAAGCTCAAGCTGATCTTATTGTGGCCACTAACAGAGAAACCCTCTTTTGGAAACAGAAAGCTAATATTAAATGGATGGAATTAGGGGATCAGAACTCTTCCTTTTTCCACTCTTATGTCAAGAGCAGAAGAAGCAACCTCAAGATCAGAAGCATTACAGATGGCAATGGAAGGAAAAAAATGGAGGTAGAGGAGATTCGAAAGGCAGCAGAGGATTACTTTAAAGAGGTGTTCAGCACTCACAAAGAAGTTCATGCTCATCACATCCTGGAATATATCCCCAACCTCATCACCCCGGAGGACAATTTCATGATGGGCAGAATCCCAGATGAAGCAGAAATCCAAAAAGCAGTTTGGGATCTTAGTCCTACTAGCTCAGCAGGCCCTGATGGATTCAATGGCAGCTTTTTTAGAGTGTGCTGGAGTATCATTAAAGAGGATGTCATCAAGGCCACTCAAGAATTTTTCCTAGGAGTCCCTATTCCAATGGCCTTTGGAAGCACTCTCATCACTCTGATCCCTAAGAAGAAAGTCTGTAAGCATTTCTCAGACTATAGGCCCATTTCTCTCTCTACTTTTATGAGCAAGATTAACTCCAGGATCCTGGCCTCTAGGCTACAAACTCTCTTATCTAAACTCATCTCTAAGGAGCAAGCTGGGTTCCAAAAGGGAATGGGTGTAGATGATCATATCCTAATGACTTGTGAAATGGTCCACAATCTAGACAAACATTGTGACAGTGGCAATGCTATCATCAAGTTAGACATGGCTAAGGCATTTGATAAAATCGAATGGAGCGTTTTAAAGGGGGTTTTAAAAAGATTTGGCTTCTCTCAGTCTGTTCAAGACTTGTTACTTGCAAACCTAATTGGCACCCATATTTCAATCCTAATTAATGGATGTCCAACAGGTTTTTTCAAAATGGAAAGAGGAGTAAAGCAGGGGGACCCACTATCCCCACTCCTTTTCATTATTGCTAGCGAGGTGTTCCTAAGGATGATCAAGACCAACATGGAGAGTAAATACATTAAGAGGTTCAACACTGGTAGAAATCTCCTAGTCAGTCATCTAGCCTATGCAGATGATATAATTATCTTCTTAAAGGGAGGAGTTAGAAACTTTCTCAAATTCAATGTCATCCTTAAGGAGTATACAGAGGGCTCAGGGCAAGAAATTAACTACAGCAAGTCCAAGTTCTATGTAGGGAAAAAGGCTAAGCACAATCAAATTTCTAGGATGGAGATTGCCATTGGCATGTCCCATGACAGTTTGCCCTTTAAATACTTGGGAGTCCCAATCTGCAAGGGCAAACTCAAACAAAATCACTGTCAGGACATACTGGAACACTTCGACAGACATATCAACACTTGGTACAGTAAACTGCTAAATCCTATGGGCAGACTTATACTCATTAAACATGTCCTTTCATCTATCCCCTTACACTACTTAGCTGTCCACAGTTTACCTATCTCTGTCATGAATCATCTTCATAGAGTCATGTCCAACTTTCTTTGGGGTTATTCCAATGGCAAACCTAAACACCATTAGAAAAATTGGGAGTCAATTTGCACCCCTAAAGATGAGGGAGGTCTGGGGCTGAGGAACCTCAAGGATTTGCATAAAGCCTACTCCATCAAACTCTGGTGGAAAGCTCAAAAGGACAACAGCATTTGGGCTACCTATATTAGAGACAAATATTTGAGGAGAAATTCATTCCAGGAGAGAATTGTAGACTCTCCTAA